TGCATTTCCTGTTCTCAGTTCCTGCGATACACCATTAACTCTGTACATTTCTATTTACGCATCTTGCCTTTCAATAAGGCTTCTGTTGCGAGCACGTTCTCTTACTTCATCATGTGTTCACGTTGTTCGACTAATTCACCGCAACAAGGTTTTTATATACAATTGCTACCGAAAAAGGGTAAAGTGTGGTCCATACAGTTTCATACTATAAAATAGTCGTCATCATCATTGTTAAGGCGCGTAGTACTCTCATTGTAAGAGTTCATGGCATGCAGGAACCATCGGTGACCACTTTTCTTTTTAGAAGCTTTCGGCGATTCACTCACATTGAAAATCATCGACTGCGGTTTCTGTACCTTTACTTTTCGTTAACCATAAAAGGGGAAAGAAGAACTTTCAGTAGACATCGTCTATAGACCGCCGTCTGCGCTTCGCGTTGCTGGGGAACAAAGACACCGACGTCGCAAGCCGATTATACAGCAGAGGGCTCTGAAAGTTTGCGCATGCGCTGATCGAAAGTCCGTCGATACGGCGTGCTCGGCGAACTATATACTCGAGCTGTACACTGACAGCCAACGAGGTTAGACGAACGTCCAAAAAGAAGGGGGTGCTGGAAAGAGGGGAGTGCTCCGGGTCTAACAAAAGCGCCACTTAGCATACAAGACGGCCCAGCAGATTCCGGGTGCCAAATGCAATCCCATTGCGATGTGGATGTAGCGCCCACTCGTCCTTTGGCGCGCACCTTTTGTAGGAGGCCCGAACAAGAGTGGGTGCCGACAGGGATAACATTTTTCGCCCGACTGTGTGTGACTTTAGGGCTCTTCACCAGTTCCAATCCACTTGTTTCTTTGTCCGTCACTTTTGTTTTACTTATCTTTACTGTAACGAAGCGAAGAGGGGCGTTTTCTTCAATTGCGGGAGTATATACCGGGTGTTTCACGTAACTAGAACCAACGATTAAAAGAACGTGGTTAACCTCGCGTGATTATGAACAACAGCAAATAAGGGGAGGGCATATAATTTGCCGTTATATGACGCTCGTTAAGGTTTACTCTATATCGGTTGATTGACAAAGATCAGTTGTGCAAAACTCTGAATACTCACATTACTGTCAAGTTCGTTTCTCTTTTACAATGTAGCGGACTTTCCAAAACAAACCAACTCTTGAAACAACATAGACGTATCGTGGTGACTTTTTTTCACGGCATTTAAAGAAAGCACATGACATATGAAAAGAAACCATGTCACTTTACTCGTACTTAACTCTATACTAGAGCATTCTCAACCGGGCTTCGAGCGAAATAATCGCGTGCGCGGACCACGGTGAAATTGAGCTCCTGCGGCTAGGATGCGGTGGGTTAAAAGCGTTGGCTTCACTCAGCGTTGCCATTTTTGACAGTGACACGCGGCAAAAAAAGGGTTTTCATTTCCGATAAAGCGGTCGATTGCCGAGTATTGGGAATACCTGCTTCATTATGGTCAGATGTTATAGTTTGAGTAGCTTCTCCGGAGCCCTCCACTACGGCAGGCTCCATAATATGGTGGTTTTGGGACGTTAAACACAACCTATCAGTCGATTATTGATAACTTAGAACACTAAACCCAACATATCAATTGATTATCGATAACTTAAGTGGCTTACTGCTGAATCACATTACCTTTTTCTTTACGTAATCCAGATATCACAGTGCGTACACAGCTTATTGCGGTTAGAAAGGGCAAATTTTGAAGACGGGGCCAATATCTTCCTTCAACTAGCAGCTTTCCTCACGACCAGTGGTAAGGCAAAACTCAAGGAACATGGATTGGATCTAGATAGAAAGCATGCCACTAGCCCTGCACAATGGTGCGAATACTTTGCGTGCTTGGTCACAACAATATGCTGGCGCAACTACAACCGCAACCAACTCCGGAACACTGTCTGGACGAAAGTTTTTTGGGGTCTAATGCTATTCATAACCACTATATATGAAGGCACGTAAACGTGAGAAATACGACACTGAGGAAAGACGTCAGAATGCAACATGAGGGCCATTGCATTTTGCTTTACAGCGTAAGCTTTGATGAGCTCACAAAAACAGCGTATAGCTATTGCAACGGCGTAGCGGTGGCAGTCGCTGCTATTGCGCACATCGAGAAAAAATAACAGGAGTTCCGAGGTGGGCTCAAAACTCCGGCTTTCTGAGTGGGAAGTGACTGCCCCACCACAGCGCCACGCAAGTTCTTTATTTTGAGACTATGGTAAATAACACTAAAAATAAATAAATGGGAATAAGAAAACACAAAGTACACTGCAAATGTAGCGGATGTGTGGTGAACCAGAATCGTGCTGGCATGATCTACCTTGTAATGCACACAAAGCGACCAGCGGCTCCTTACTCTCGGGATCGAGGCACTCGTGATATTCCGCTGCATCTTTCAGCAATCCTTGAACAGTCTCTGAAGACGCTACATCTTAAAAGGGACCCGTGCTTAGTGCTACGACTTATGCTGGACCCATGGAAAATGTACCCTTATGCCTTACCTGCCCCGAAAACACTGAAGAGATTTTTGTGTGCCACAAGGCTGAATGAAACCTTGTCAGCAGTGTAATCCACGTGTGTGTACTTGTGTATTTGCTATGCTTTAGAGCTGCGACTAATGCTGGACTCATGGAAAATGTACCCTTATGCCTTACCTGCCACAAAAACACTGAAGAGATTTTTGTGTGCCCCAAGGCTGAATGAAACCTTGTCAGCAGCGTAATTCACGTGTGTGTACGTGTGTATTTGCTATGCTTTTATCAGTGTATATATCACAATCATCACCTAGCATCGGGAGTAGCTTTTCATGCGAATAGCCAGGCTAACATCTCCAACTTTTAGTTAAAACAGCTCTCTCTCTCTTTTTTCTAGAAAAATATCTAAATTCAAGTGTCATTTATGGTGAGAAAACGCGTTAACAAATCTCAAGTGGCGTCGCAAAAAAAAAAGTATAATTACGCATGACTACACACTACACGAATTTCGTGACAAATGGATCGTTTAATGGTCCCTGCTCGTAACAAATGGCTCAGCCATAATTCATCACGCTCATCATCGTCCCCCGCAGTCGCAGCACCTAGGCAACGAGTATTGGTTGCTTCGCTACTTCGTAAGACAGCATGGTTTAAAGCGTTGAGGGTGCCTCACAACTGTATTTGCATTAGGCGCCCTAAGAGAGTTTATGGTGGGCTATAGGCAGGCCGCTCTGCCAGTCTATGCTTTGGCAATGCTGCGCGCTCCGTGTTCTCTGTATATTTCACCCCCTGAGAACAACTTCACGGTATTGTCGATTATGAACACAAGATTGGGTGACTGGTGCAAGCACATAGCGTCATTATATTGGAGTGCTCTAAAAAAACTAAGGCACCTTGCCATGCAAATGTTACGTCCAATATATCGCTTTCAAGGCACGTGCTCTATGGTGACACTTTTATTATTTCCCTTGCGTTTTGCCACGTAGGTTTGTTATTCGCTATCCCGTCATCGTTGCGGATGCGTGTGTGAATGTATGCCCTTCAAAATATTAAAAACGTTGTGCGCTTGTTCACGAAATACGGCGAAACAAACAAGGCTCACAATCACGACGTACAGTCGTCAGCAAGCTTAACGTGAACGCTCTATGGCCTGTCCTGAAACAGTGTGATTGACGCTATAGCGCTCTGTTTCCGAGTCGTTACACATGCATGCCGGTATACTATCCAAGCGTATACCGAGGTAATAGAGAGTTGTAGTTTAGCCCGCGCAACGGGCGAGAGAGAGCAAGACGGTGCATGCGCTGAACCTAAGAGAGACGCGTGCGTTTTCGCGCGCAAGAGATGCGAACGATAGATCTCGGCGCTTACGTTGTGGTCGCTCGGCCGCTGCGTACCTTACCGGCGGCTGTCTCGCGAGATCTCGACGGTTGCGAGCGTCGACAGCATGGCTGCTGCGAAAAAAGGCCATGTCCACCGGCTACTCCAGTTCATTTCTTCGCCCATATATGGCGCAGCTCAAGGCTGTTTACGCCGAAGTGCACTCCACGTTTCGGTTGTTTGCGTACGGTAAACTAACGCTGCACGCGACAGCCTCAGCCGCTGAGGGCGCGCTCCCACTTGGCCTCGAAGGGAGCGAATGCAGCGAAACTCTCCTGAAACTGGCTCCGGAAACCACGCCGCATGGCCGGGGCGCAAGAATCGGGCAGAGACTGATTTTCCCGCCACGCGAAAGCGGATTTCATTTCCGCTGCAAGGCTTTGGCTGCGATAGATCAAACCACGTCATCTGACCAGCCGGCCGCAGATTCAACATAGCGGCAAAGGCGTCAGCAGTGGCTGGCATCGGCTCAAATCGGAAACTACCCGCGCAACACGGCGAAGCTTGACGACCTCAACGAAGATGCGTTCATCGAGAGTTTGGTTTTGATTGCGATCGCCGAAAACTCTGGAATTAGGCGGTGCAGTCGCAGCGAGTCGTTGGGCCCCAACGTGTCTCGCTCTTGCGTACAGCCGGTTGAATCCGCCGCCGCCGCCGCTGCGTTCGCTCGTGTCGTTTCTGCTGGCGTGTCTCCCAAAACAACGTTTGAAAAGGTGCGAGCTGTTTCTTTTCAGTACCTAGCGTGAATAATTAGAATTTGTTACAAACTTTAGTTCTCAGAAAGCAGGCAAAGTTGAATTAATTGCCGAGGTATCAACGGCAGCGGCGGCGGGATGGGGCTTCAATGCACGTGGTCGTGGTTTTCCGGCCGCTTTGGCGTTTTCGTTTTCCCTTCAGCTCTCAAGTGTGAAAGCACCCTTATATACGTACCCAACGCGCCGCACATTGAGTTCCTGAGGCGTTGCGGGCGCTAAACTAAAACCGCATATTATTTCGGTAACATCGCCCAGCGCTTCGTGGCTGGCAAGAGGAAAAATAGTCCAAATCACGCATCGGAGCTTTCGTGTTAAGCTTGCTGACAACTGTAGTCCGTAGACAAAGAAACACAGCTGAGTTGGTGTCTTACCTTCTGTATGAACGTCGCGATAGGGGCTGGTTTCTTTCACAACAGTGCCATAGCAGTGCAAAGAAATGCGAACAGCGGGAAGCGCAACTTCTGGCGCAGCCTGACACCGACATGCCTCCTCAATTGCAATGCGAATCTGTGCCGCCTGTGCTTATCATGTACCAATCATGCCTAGAACTAGGAACTCACACTTGGTGAGATATCGTCAGTCGGAGCAGCACTCTAGCGCTATCGCGACGTCAGTCGAAAGCACAAATTCGCCTAGCGACAATCAAGGCGAATCTTCGGACTGCTCCGAAAGTCACGCTTTCCACTGTTAATAATCACTTTCGTTGCGATAGTATACGTATTGGCGTGTAGCAGCAACACAAGTTAGCTAACATTCTGGTACAGCAAACAGTAATTCATCCACCATGTTGGAGCATTGGTTATGGTGATCCGAAGGTAGCGGGTTCGATGCCAGCCGCGGCGGTCGCCTGTCGTTGGAGGCGAAATGGGAAGGCCCGTGTGCAATGTTAGTACACGTTAATGAACACCAGATGGCCGAAATTTCCAGGGCCATCTACTACGGTGCTTCTCAAAGTCATATCGTGGTTTTGGAACTTTAACATCATGTACCGTTTCGTTAGTAGTCGTAAACAATATTTAGCAAAAGTAAAAACTCTTCTACCAAAGGACGATCTTGTGGACAATGGTGCAGACATGGTAGATACATGTGTGTAGTCTCTCTGACGCGTTCACAGTGGGAAGTTGAAACTGGTTTTTCTTAAAAAGTCACCTTCGTGTGAGAGCATACACATACATTGCGTGAGATTATGCCTGAATGAATCGAAGCCTAAAGTGCGATATTTTTTTTCGCTTTCAATTCTACAAGTTGACTCTGTCTAAACTATGCGGGTTAAATCCTGACATGTCTTTTTTTTTTTCATTCTCTTTCTTTTGTTTTCGTCTTTCCAGTGTGGAAGCGCACGTACTCTAGTCAAACTTTTCTGGGTTTAGGAAGACAAAAAAAAAAAAAAGGCAGCATATCCACGGAGTGAATGATGGAGAGTGGGGCGAAGCATCCGTCCGTCCATTCGTTCTTGCTTCCGTCCGTCCATGCGTACGTCTGTGTGACCGTCCGTGTGTCCATCCGTCCGTGCGTGCGTCCGCACGTCCATCTGTGCGTCCGTCCCTGCGTTCGTTCATGCATCCGCCCCTGCGTCTGTCCATGCGTCCATCCGTGGGTGCAGCCATCCATGAGTCCGTACATGCATCTGTCTGTGTGTCCGTTCGTCCATCTATTCAACACTCCTAGTACCACCCTCTCGCATCTTTTCATCATATGTTCCGCATATAGAAGCACCGCCATCCAGCGGACATTCCAAGGACTAAACGAGAAATGGCACACGCACACTTTTTACGGCTTGCGCTTCGTGTCTATATACTTCCCACCTTTAACCACCTCGAGTTCATGGTATATACTGGTTCACTCTATTCATGGCACTGCGGCCCAACGCTCGCTAAACTTTTCTAAAACCAAAGAGGGTACGCCCAGCGAATATAACGTAGCAACCCTTTCCTGTCAGATAGTGCTCAATGTACATGCCAATGGCTGCTAATGGGGAATGAGAGACAGGATAATTCGGCTTTTAATTTCTTACGGCTTGCGCTTCGTATCTACTTCCCACCTTTAACAACCTCGAGTTCATGGTATATACTAGTTCACTGTATTCACCGCACTGCGGCTCAACGCTCGCTAAACCTTTCTAAAACCAAAGAGGTTACGCCCAGCGAGTATAACGTAGCAACCCTTTCTTGTCAGATAGTGCTCAATGTACATTCCAAAGGCTGCTAATGCGGAATAAGAGACAGGAGAATACGGCTTTTAGTTAACGCACACGCTGCGAATTTTTGATTGTTCAACAACGCACAGGAGAAATCTCCCACCGGCACCACCTTGCAGGTCGAAACGTAAGACTGGTTACACACTACGACTACGACTACTACGAGGGACGAACAGGTGCCGCTTTAAGAAGCTTCGCCCCTAAAAAAAAAAAATAGATATTGTCCACATCTTCATCACAGCATCTCGTGTTGACCACTGCATATCTTCCGCCCATATAAGGAACGCTTGCAATTTTTATTTTCTATCTCGCCTCTATCCATCGGAGCAGAAGCAATCAAATTGCCTTGGCTCTTTTTTTTTTAAACTGCACTGAGATCAAACGCAGGCTCACTGCAAACACGAAAAACAAAACTGCTCAAGCTCCCATGCACATTCTACGATTGAAATGGAAAGAGAGAGAGAGGGTGAACTGAAGGATTCAATGGACCGGGATGCACAGTAGGGAGAGACGAAAGGAAGTAAACGAAAGAATTAAAAAGTGGGAGGGTTTAAAGATAAGGAACCTAAAAGCTGTAGGCACGAAGGAGGAAACGATAATAGCAGACGGAGCAATGTTGAGACAGCGTGCAATATCAGAAAACTGTCGAGCAAAATGCGAAGTACTACTCAGAAATGCCAGAGATGTGCCGACAAGGAGGAATAGAGGAAGAAAGAAGCAGAGGGGGTGATGTCTCGCGAGAAATAGAGTAACAGGAAGAGGAAGACGTAAGCGGAAGACGAGGGCGTGTACAGTATAGCAGCTAGTGTAGAAAATATGAGCGGGAACCCGTGAACAGCGAAGAAGAAGACGAAGGAGGAGGAGAGAAAGATGGAAGAGACGGCGACGTGTCCTTTTCCCAATTCTCTGTACAGGCGGTGGGGTCCCCTCTCGGTTGGTCTGCCTCACTCGGTTGGCCGGAGCGTCCCGGAGAGCAAATTCGCATTTCAAATGCGGCTCCATGGCTCGCCCTTCCTTTTGCAGACATCGCCCCTGCAGAGTCTCGCCTCCTCTTGCTTTACTTGATCCTCTTCAGATCTTGGCACGAACCGGAGCTTGGTTCCTGAGGGTATAGGACGAGATGAGATGTAAGAAAACTGAAATAAGAAAGACATAAAAAAAAACACTTCCTTCTTTCTCAGTGTGTTCATTTTACTATTTTTTTTTGTCCTTATGTTGCAAAGATGTAGCGTACACTGGCGACAGCAGTGACCATATAGCGAAGACTCTCGAGCATGCGCAGCGTAGTCATTTCGCCTTTTTTTTATAGTACGGTCTGTCCTCACGCCCGTTTCTCTATAGCAACATTGGCTTTACTCTCAGCAAAGTTAGCAACGCTACAGTGACAACAGGCCACGACATCCAGCCCCGTTTCTGTTCTAGGCAAGCGTAAAGTTTAAGGAACGACCCATTGTTTCGAGATTATTTCTCGCCCATACGTGGGCTGCGCGTATACCGACCTTCGGACACTCGGCGCACCTAGTGCGGGCAACAGTCCGGCCTGCGTCGGCGCATTTTCTCTGTTCGAAGTACCCACGTTTTTCCCCTTATATTCCGCCCCCCAAACCCTGCCTCGTCAGTTCCCAGCACAATGGGGCCTTTTAGGCTAGAAGAGCGGTAACTGCAAAGGAACAAGAGACTTAGGTAAGCGAGCCCTTCGAAGTGTCTCGTGGAGATACAGCGCCGGTTTCAGACACAGTGACAAAAGTCGGGAAGGTGGTCGCCCCCTTTTCGCCAGTTCAATCTTGTCGGAGCTTATATACCATTCTAAAGGTGGCACACAGAAGGGTGAGGAGGGGTGACTATGTGTTTATTTGGGCCCAGTTTTAGCGTTATTAGCTTTACTTGCTCTGCAGTGAAGAAGACGGGATATTCCGACTGCCGAAAACCTTTCGCGGAACCGGACAAACGGACGGTGTCGCGCTTCAGGTGACATGGGGTGGGAGGCATTCGGGAACTTAATTCATTCTGAGCGGTGAGAGATTCGCTCCTTATTCCACCTTTCGTCGGGTTAATGCGACGGTGACTCCGTGGAGGAGCAGAGGTTGCGTCTCAAGGGAAGCAAAAGAAAGGAGGCTAAAGAAACAAAAAACTACAAAAAAGAACAAAGAGAAGGGCGAGCCTGACAAGCTCCTGGCGTGGTTGTGAAATTGAAAAGTTCACTCCTCGAGAGCCTCAGTACGGAAACAGTCTCCACTTCTTTGTGCAGACAGCGTAGATTGGAAACAGCCCACGCTACTCTACCAATCTACGCACTTTTCTTTTTTTTTTTGCCTCTCTGCAGGCACTATAGGGCGTTGGAATTGAAATGACAGTGAATATTATTACGCTTCTGCGTAGCTGGTAGCATTACTTTCCCTAAGGCTTTATACTTGACGACATTTCACGTGTGATAGTGCAATTTTTTTTTTCAGCGTTTTCGAAGGTATCGACAATGAAACGACGTCTGTGTTTCTCTTATGGTAGTTGACTGTACATCATAATAAACTGAAGTTTCATTGTACTGCACAGCTCTATATAAATAATAGTACATCAATTTAAACGTACGCCTCGATAAAGTTCTAGCTTCTTTCATTAAAATAACAAGTTTCGAAACTCAAGGACTTGTGAATCATGAGCACTGTTGGGCACGTCACTGCAAAAGATCTTAATTAAAAGTAAAGCTTTATTTTAAATCCATTGGAGGCACAAACCAGATGTACTCATGCTATCATACAAGACTTCTGGCTCCCCAATGAAATCTATACTAATTACAGCGCAGCTCCACGTAAAGCATTATAGATGCATCGATAAAGCTTCATGCTGAGTAATGTAATCTCAACACGGGGTATGTGTTGGAAACCACGTGGTTCGGTGGCCAGCGCACTTTCACTTATGGTCATGAAGGCGTCCTATTTGTCTGGCAACATCTGCTTACATCCCATCAGTAACGAAAATTCGACAGATCTCAAGCACCCGGGAAATCGATGGTATACGGATGCTAGGTGAACGTGTTTTAATTTTTTTTGTGTGGAGGGTGACGCTATGAAGCGTCGCTAAATATATGGTGAAATCTACACCCACATGCGTTAAACAGCCACATATGCTTTATACAAACCAGTTGTTTACAGTTGCATATTAATGTCAACAGCAACATGGATACACACTAGAAGCGGTAAGCTGATATGAAGCGCTGGTGTTTGCACTGGTGCGCA